GAAGTCAAGAGCCATAGAGCCAGAGAGAGTAAGCAAGAGGAAGGATGACTTTGTAGTCCAGGAATGACTGCAGTCACCTGAGATAGGATAATCCTAACTTCTAATTCCAACTCCAAAATGCTACATCCCCACTCCCCCAGGTAGGTATTCTATCTGATAACAGTTAAATGCAAAATGTATAAGCCATCTTTGGAGCAGGTACTGGAACCCAGGACTTGCCCCAACTCCAAGGGAAGTTTTTTTCTCAGTCATAGGACTTGTGCAGGACTTCTGGACTCTTGGCCTAATCACTGAATGGTTTTCTATAGAAACTAATGCAAATAAAATGTGGGTCTCATTAAACATTGCTATCATTTCAGAGACCGCAAGTGTGACATTGCATTCTAGGGTCAATTGTTAGAAATCTAAGCTATTGGGAATCAAAATAGCCATATGGTTTGTTCTTTGGAGTTATAATGGAAGCTTTTAATAGAATGCTTTTCCTTTCCATCCTACCAGAATCCTTGCTGAAGCTAAAAACCTTTCGTTCAATGCCACCATAGCTTTCAATGCTTATAGCAACATCAAGGATTCTATTGATGAAGCTGAAAAAGTTGCCCGGGAAGCAAAGGCTCGTGCAAATGAAGCTGTACAAGTGGTAAGAAAAATAAGGTGTTTTTGTTGGTTTCCCTTTGCTTTATAAAGAAAAGAGATTCTGTAGAAACAGACTTTTCCGTATATATACAAGACTTCTACAGCTTATTTTCCATTCTCTTCTGTTATTGTACTGACATCTTTCCCACTGCCAAAGCCCCCAGTCGCTGAGATCAGAGAACATATCTCCATGCAGCATTTTCATGGTTATTACTATCACTATGTCCCTTCTTATTCCTTTTTGGACTCCCTTCCCTTTGCATTGTTCTTGGACTCTTACATGTCCATACATATCCCTCCACCCCAACTATGCCAGGACCTTCTGCACTGAAGTTTGGAGTCAGAAACAGGTTGGTTTTATATATTTGATGAATACATATCTTATTTATGTGTTTAATAATGTTTAGTATATACTTCTAGAGATATTTCTAGTTTAATAATCTCCTCATATACTAGTTTCAAAAAGAAAAAGAAAAAACCTACAAAATTGTAGGGCAGTTCTCTGCAACAAGGGCATCAAAGCAAAAACAAGCCTGGACATGAAATAGCCATTCCACTCTGGAAGGGGGATGAGCTTCATAAAATAGGAACGATTCTTGGAAACTGAATGGCAGAATATAATAAACTATACAACATTATAACTATAAAACTTATTTTCTGGTCTCTACTAAATTTCACATCACAGAATAATAAACTGAATGCACTTTTCAAGAGGATCCCCAAAGGAAACTTTTTTTTTAATGGATCACAACAGGATGCTACTTCCTCAGTATCACTTCTACAGCATGTATCTCCACTCCAAAAACACATCATAGGTAGAAAATGTTCTGAGTGTTTCCATACACTTTTGGTGTGCCATGCAGTGAAGGAGTTAAGAGTTTATATATGGAGGCAAATAAGGAAGCAACTGACCTGCACCTCAGGTAGAAAATAGCTCTAAAGATGATGGAATGGCGTGAAATTGAATGACCATATACCAACTAAAGAAATATTGATGGTGCAAGTAGATAACAGAAAGAATACAAATGTCAGAGGATTCAAAGCAGTGGCAGGCCTGTGAAGGGTTATAGTATAAATGTCCATATTCACGAAGGGGTAAACAATCTGGAAATTAAACAAATGGTATCCCTGTTTTGTTTTATTTAAATTGTTGGCTTATATTACAAATAACTCTAATTCCTGAATTTCTCTAGTGTGAAAATGGCACCCCACATATTGGTATGTGTTAGCTGCCTAAAAAATTGTTGCTTCTATCGTGAACTACTAATTATAATACAACGGCACAGAAATTCTGGGTTTATTTGGCTCACTAGAATTTAATACCTATAACTTTGCTTTAGTCCTTTGATGACTCAGAAAGTCTGAGTCAGACACATTATGAAGCTTGACAAGGAAAGAAGAGACATGCAGTAGTCAAGCAACAAAGCAGGCAATTACAATATGACTACAAAAGGGCATACATCAGATAGGCAACCAACCGGATGATTATACTATGGAAAGAAAGTGGCTAGACAATTTGTAAGGGGAGAGAAAAAGGAGATGGACAATGTTTTATAAATAGATACAAATGAGTAGTGAAGAAAGAGTGCAAATCTTGATTAAGGCAGCCTTTAAAGCATTTCCATGTTTATGGATTCATTAGATGTAGTCTATTTATATTATATGCTGTAAGTCTACAATGGGCAGCAAACTGATAGAGAAATAGGGACATGGAGGTAACTGTTGTATAGGCAATTAGTTTGTGAGAGAGAAGCCATGCTAAGTATTTGCAGGTGCCTATATACATACAGAATAGCGCCTGTGATGCAGACTCGATTAATTGAGTCGGCTAGAGCATGGTAATTACCATACTCCAGCAGACTCCAGTGTCACATGCATCAGTGTCCCTGTGCTGAAAAATGGTGGCAGGGGCACTTTAACTAAATCTTGTTTGACAAGCTTTAGTTAAAAGTGCCCCCACTGCCATTTTGAAGTGTGGAGATGCTGAATACATATGATGCCAAGGCTGCTTGGAGCATGAGCACAGGGATGCTTATACACATGATGCTCTGGACACTTTAATTAGAGCAGCTCTTGCAGCACCCCCCCTCCTACTTCTGGAGCATGTCCATAAACACCCTGCCATTCTATCCTGAAGTGAATGCAATTAAACAGTGGTTTTCAACCTGTGGTCCGTGGATGCCTGGGGGTCTGAAAACTATGTCTAAAGGGTCTGCCAAAGATGACTATGATCTTTCAAAAGTATGTGAATACCCACACTTACAATTCAAAGGGGTCTGCACCTCCATTCAAAATTTTCAAAGGGGTCCACTTCTCCATTTGAAATTTTGTAGGGGTCCACAAATGAGAAACGATTGAAAACCAATGCAATAAAATACTTGCTTCTAGGCAACACAGATTTTTAACTGCAACTTTGTGTATGGTCCTATTAGGGTTTAATTTACTTTAATTGGAAGGATGTTTTATCATAAAATTAAGTTGATAGTGGTAGAAGTTGGCACTAGACAAAGCTAAGAAATATCACAGGAGCTGGAAGCCTGATAGATTACTAGAAAAGATAAACCATATTAAAAATATGACAGAAGTATTCCTCCCATGCTTTATATGAAGGTTTCATTCTACCCTTTAAAAGAAAAATAAATTAATCACAGATGAAGATCTTTGGTGTTCAAGCAGCTTTCCACAGCCCATTACTTAGATGAGATGGCAATGGTGATCATGGTAACTGACTGAAAGGACAAATCATGATAAAAGATTTGGCTTCTAGTTCACAGTTTAAAATTACATTTTCAAAGGAAGACTTCAAATATGCCTATTTTGTGTGTGTATTTTTTAACATGTTAATATATTTAGAGTAGAATTATACTCTTTAAAGCTAAAAGAAGGGGCTAGGTGTTAAATGGGTCCTAGTCCTAGCTCTGCTAGTGACTTTTTGTGTGTGAATGAGGTTATCTCTGTGCCTTTTTCTAAAAAATGCAAACAAGGATGACTTGGAATCTTAGGTATGGGAATGACAGGAGACTTCATTTATTAGCCACATTTATGTAAAATGCTAAGATGGAAGACCCTACAAAAGTACAAAGTATCTTTATTATTTCAAATCTGTTTAAATAAATGTAAGTTGCTTTAAATAAGCCTTTACAATTGGACTTATCTTTGAAAAGCAAGTCACTATATCTAAAGCTATGACTGTATGCTATGGACAGTACACTTATTTAATTTACAGTTAATTAAGATCCAGATCTTCAGGAAGACGATTTCCCTAAAGGGTCTAATCAGAGTAGATGTTTTCAGACGACTCCTAACAAACACCAACAGGATGTGGGTCTTCACAAAACACAGCAGCCAGGGCCATTTTCATTCAAAAATACAGCTGGTGGCCATGTGGTAGCTCAGTGAAGGGAACACCCACCCAGAATGTGGAAGACTTGGCTGGGTTCGAGAGGGTGCTGCCCAGGCCTCCTACCACTCAGAACAGTACCCTAACCACCAGGCAGGTAGAAGAAACACACTCCACCACACTGGCTACCACTCTGCCAAATTATTCCAAATCATGGGGAAAGAGAGAAAGTAAGAGTGAGTGTAAGATGCAGCCTGACTATGTAGCCCACTTTTCAAGGCACTCACCATTAGTTTATTATCTATACATCCTCTGTATGGTTTAATAAATGTTTTTTTCTTGAATATTAAATATTTATTCAAAGTTTGCCCATTGAAGCATTCACCATCCCCATGGAAGTGCAAAATTAGGCCATGAATCATTTATGCATTGTGAAATTGTAGCTTTTAGGATTACTGTATTTACTTGCATACCACATGTGGGCATACCACATATCCCACTTTCCCCTGGAATAAGTCCTCCAAAATTGGGGTGCATGTCTTAAATGCAGAAGCCAACTTCCACACCAGAATGGAGGCTTGAGGTTACTATAGTAGCTGCCAGGGGCTGCCTTCATGCTGGACATGCAGGATGGGGAAAGCACATTCCTCAGTGTCACTCACTCTCTTCTTTCAGCTAAAGCTTTAGCCTTCATAGCTACTGCCAATTCAGCAGTGGCTTTGAGAGGGTTAAAGCTTTAGCTATTTGGAAGGACAGGTGGTATTCAAGAAAATGTGGTTTATTTTTACCAAAGCACATACAAGTCCCAAACTGCAGTTGGGACCCCACCATTATAGACATTGTGTAACTACAGTTCCTAACCCAAAGATTTTACAGTCTAAAGAGAAAAAACACACAGCTGATAATAAAGAAAATGGGGAGGCACAAAGAAGGGGTATTTGGTTACTGGCACATCTCCTGAGTTTTGGTTCCTCAACTATTCACTGGATCACAACATCTTTCTTTTGTCTTTTATTTCTGTTTTATCACATGACTGATTCAGTTAATCAAAATAGAGTATCATATACTATTGGCTGGCAGCTTTATTAAATCACAAAGGAGTTTATCATCACTCAAAACTGCCCACGCACCTGAACATCCATGTCATGCACAGTCAGATATTGTTAATGTCTGTGCTTTTCATTAAGTCTATATCTTTCCAGCCACAAGCCAGTAAAATGCTCATTTTGCATAAGAAGTTTTGATTATCTTAGAATTTTTAAGTATCACATTTCTTCTTCAATAGACTTTTTAATCTGTACATCACTATTTCTATTTTTTTTAATATCAGCATTATGTACTACAATCAGTCTGTAGCATGTGTCACCTGGCCTTAATTACTGCCCCTTACTCATAGGGTGACCATACATCTTGGTTTGGCCTGGACACTCCCCAATTCCATAGCTCAGTGCCAGATGTTTGTTCAGAAGTCCAGGGTTGGAGTCTGGTGGGGAGGCGGAGCAGCATAGTGTGCCAGGCAGGTGGTTGGACAAACACCACTGGTGCTCTGTGAGAGCAGTCCCTTTATTTAATTGGGGATCAAGTAATGATTGCATATGATACTCATTTTAATGAATGTTTAGGCTTTTATCTATACCTCAGGGGCAGGGCTTGAATTACACTGGAGGCTGGAGGCTTTGGAGATGGTGGCCCCGGCAGCAGTGGCAGAGAGAAGCTGCAGGGCAGCCGGGCCGGCACAGGCTGCAGACAGCTGCAGGAAAAAGCATCCAGCAGCAATGAGGAAGAGGAGCCATTTTTCCCCCACACTAAACAGTAGTTTCTGCCTGGATGCCAAGGGGGCTCTTGTTTCTTATGCAGGAACTCTTATATCTTATGGGGGGCTCAGCCCAACCCCCAAGTCACCACCTAATTTGAACCCTCCTTATGGGGATTGTTATTATACTTCAACTGAGTATTACTGCATGCTAAAAATAAAGGCTTAATTCTACAAGGAGTCTCTCCTGGCTCCAGCATTGTTTAATATCTTCATTAATGATTTGGACAATGGAATAGAGTGCATGCTTAGTAAATGTGTAGCTGATACCAAATTGGGTGGAATTGCAGATACTCCAGAGGGAAGGGCTAGGATCCAGAATGACATGGATAGACTGAAGAAATAGTCTGCTGTCAATCAGATGACGTGCAGGAGATGTGCAGAATCCTGAACTTGGGATAGAATAAATGCAAGCACAATTACAGACAGGGGAATGACTGGATATGTTGCACTACTTCAGAGAAGGACCTTGGGGTTATAGCAGACCAGAAGCTGAATATAAGACAGCACCGTGCCCTTGTTGCAAAAAAGGCCAACGGCATACATGGTTGTATTAATAGGAGTTTGACTTGCGAATCAAGGCAAGTGCTTCTTCTGCTTTATTCACCACTTGTGAGTTTTAGCCTGGAGTAGTATATCCAGTTTTGGGCCCCATGTTTCAAGAAAGGTGTAGACAGATCAGAGAGAGCCCAGCACAGAAAAACAAAAATGATTAGGGACCTGGAAAGCAAGACTTATAAGGAAGGACTGAAACAACTATGGTAATTTAGCCTGGGGAAGAGAAGACTTGGGGGCCAAGGAGGGTTGATCTCAGTCTTCAAATATGTGAAGGGTGATTAAAGAGAGGATGGAGATGGATTTTACTCTGTGACCAAAAGGGACAGGATTCAGAGCAATTGCCTCAAGCTACAGCAGATGAAATTTAGGTTGGAAATTAGAAGGAACTTTCTGACTATGAGGATGGTCAAGCATTGGAATGGGCTACCTGGAGAAACTGTGGAATCTCCATCCTTGAAAGTTTTCAAGTGCATATTAGACAGTCAGTTTGTTGGTATGGTGTACTCAGCGATAATCCTGCCTTAAGCAGGGAGTTGGACTAGATGAGCTTTCAGTCCTGCTTTGCTTTGTCTCTTTGATCCTGTATATCATTTCCTATTAGCAGTTTTGTGTGCACAGTGACTATAGTTTGAGGCCCCAAGTGGGTGTGTCCACACATGCAGGCACATCCACACTATTTACAGCAGCTGAAATAGAAGCGGTGCAAATTTAAGCCAGGACTTTTTGCCTTAGCGCACGTGCTCAAACATGCACTTTGGTTTGGAGCAAATTGTGCTACAATTTTGCTTGGGCTCAAAATAACCCTGCCTGGCTCCTCCCAAATCTGCAGCCAGGGGGAGCTAGAGCTCAGGGCCAGCACCTGTGTTGTCCCCAACAGTATAAAAAGCTGCCCTGTCCTGGCCCGATCAGTACAAAAAGCTGCCTTGGTAAGTAGCTCAGGGCTACTCGCTCTCAGGAGCTTCTGGGGCCCAGCCAATTGGTACCTGGGGACACTACCCCTTGTGCCAGCTGGACTGCTGAAGCAGCCCTGAGAGCTCCCTGCACCCTCTACCCACTGCAGAAGCCTGGCAGTCCACTGCGGAAGCCTGGCAGTGGGGGCTGTGACCTGCTGCACACCTGCCAGACCCGGATGGGGACTGTAGAGCCAATAGCAGCATCTGCCCTTCTGGGCCAGCTGCCAGTGGGCTGTGGCTGCAGGGTTGGGCTTTGTGTGGCACTACTGCCATGTGGGCCCCTGTCCGGCCATCTGGGTAGCTATCGCCCAGAAGATGTTCCCAGTGTTGTGGCCTGCTTTGAACTGTCAAAGCATGTCCTCCTGGCCCCAATTAGCCAGGAGGTCAGCCACCTTGAGCTGGGTCCAAGATGCCAGCTCTGAGCAGGCAGGGTCCTGCCACTGGCCTCCCTAGCAGGAATTCTGGTGTTCCCTATTGGAAAACTGAAAAATCCCTGATAAAAAAAATCCCAGTCACTCTGTAAAATACCCTGAAATCCATCTTTCTCCATGATTAAAGCAAAAGACCACTATATATAGAGAGAGAGAGAGAGAAAGAGAGTGAGAGACATAGACAAAGCAATCAGTTGGGCAATGTTTTATTGATATATCTACAGTGTTAAAGCAATTTGGAGACCTACCATTGTCTCTATCATCATAATAAAATGAATTTTAAATAGCTATATGTTTTGCTGCCCTCCACCAGGGGTAACAGCCCTCCACCAGGGATAACAGCCCCCCACCAGGGGCAAGAGCCCCCCCCAGGGGTAACAGCCCCCCCATTGGGGCCAAATGGCCCCCACAGGGGCTACCACCACCCCCTGCAGGGCCCACGTGCCCCACCCCAGCCCTGGCTGGCTCCTGCAGTCCCCCGATGGCTGCTGCACCTAGTCCCACCCCTCACCACTCCCCCAGACCCCACAATGGCTGCTCCGCCTGGCCCCATCCCCCACTTGCACCCCCTGGCCCCCATGGCTGCCTCCCAACCCCAGGCACCAGCACTTTAAAAAAAAAAAAGGGAAAAAAAGCCTACACTCACTGTAGAAGCAGGGGCTGGGGGAGCTCCAGGGCCTCCTGGCAGAGCCCCCCCTTCCCTAGGCAGCACAGGGCAGTGGGGGGGGGCAACAGGGCCCAGGCTGGGGGCACTGGGGCTGTCAGCCTGTCCTGCACTGTGCAGGTGGGGTCCTAGTGACACAGACGGTAGCTGGAACTGCCAGTAAGTGCCGGGGGAGGCATTGTTTGTTTTTT